GTTACACATTGCAACCAACAAAACCCCAGTAGGAAATAAAATGCTTTCTTTGCTCTGGGATCACATGGATTTTTGTGTTTAACCAATGGCCAATCAGCTTATATCTCACTAAGGGGCTACTCCCATAAGCATTTACTTACGTAGCCTTGCGATCTGTTTATGTTGCATTTCTTTAATGATTTAAAGAGCTTGGAATTTCCACTTAATCCTGAAATAAATAAAGCTTCTCTAGAAAAAAAAAAAAAACCTGCCAAGGAACTGCCAGAATATCCACCTAGTCTTAGTCTACAATGTATCAGGAAACTGTACAGATGAAAATTCAGGGAGTATGGTAGCAGACCTTAGCTCAGCGTTGGTCTTGGGAATGAAAAACCCCACTGTATAACTTTGGTCTCTAGCTGCTCAGAAGAATATTATGCTTTCATATCAAAGACAAAAAAAAACTTCCAGAAAGTGAACATATGAGCTGACTGTATGAGCACGTTGGCTTTCTAGGCCACAAAGAAAATCAACTTCTGAATCTCATGGGAATGTTCCCAGAAAGGCTTCGCGCCAGGCAATCCAATACCCAAGAGAGAAAATGGATGGAAAGATAGAGTCATGGGTTTCTAGCCACATCAAAAATGCTGCTGTCTTTTCCAGAAAAGAACAGATTTCTAAATTAGAAATGATTTTAAAGACCATTAAATCAAGCAATAAAATACATTAAATTTCTCTGTAGCATACATTGCAATATGCAAACATCATTACTTTGTATTCTTGAAAATCCCCAGTAAAGTATTAAAAACAATCAAATCAGGTACATATGTTTATTACTAGTTTATTCTTAGAAAAGTGTTAACCTGGAGGGGAAGAGAAATTTTGAAATCATTTCCATCATGTTTAATTTAATGATGAAAGACTTCAAGCACCAATCCTTCCTAATCTCCACATTGTATAAGATGAAAACAATTATAGCACACTATTTTAATAAGGATGCAAGGAAAAGTGACTTAGGTACTTTCTGTTTGGTCTGTCATGCTGGGTATTGAAACTAAGGCCTTTGGCATCTTATGCTGACAGTCTACCATTAAACTGTATCTGCAGCCAGGCATCCTTTTCAAGAGTCACATTTTAACACTGGCCAGATCTGTCTATTGTAACAGACCTTGAATGTTTTCAGGAAAAGAGCTTGATTAACAATCTCAGATGTGAAAAATGCTTCAATTTATTGTGGTGTTTTGTCATTCTGATTGATGCCTTCTGATCGATTCTGCTGCATGTCAGTTATCTAGATATCATCTGAAAACCCAACAACTCAGTGTCCCAGTGTGCTTCGGAATCCACATTTTATTTGATCTTTTTGAGACAGGGTCTCCCTATAGCCCCCAGCTGGCCTTGAACTCAGAGACCTGCCTGCCTTTGCCTGCCTCTGCCTCCTGAGTGCTTGGATTAAAGGCATGGCCACAACACCCCGACCTCAGATTCTACATTTTTATTGTGAGGCACTTTCAACTTTCCTAGCACTGAAATGTAATTGTAATACATGTTTTAAGAAAATATTTAGTTGTATGATTCTTCAGTGCTTTAAACAAAACTATGGATATTACTGGGGATAATTGGTAATATGTTTAAAAGAAAAAAACTACGAGGCAGAGGCAGGCCAGCCTGTGAGTTCAAGGCCAGCCTGGTGTATATACCAAGTTCCAGGTCAGTTGGGGCTATAGGAAGATCCTGTCCCCAAAAGACCGAAAAGTAAAAAAAACCCCAAAAAACAAAAAACAAACCGTTAAGTCTATCAGAAGTTGCTAATAGAAAGGTTTTAGGGCTGAATAGTGGAGAAATGCCAGACAGAAAATCTTTATCACCATTTTGATGATTCTTTAGAAGACATAATCTATGACATGAGGAATTTGTCTAATACTCTCTCGCTATGTAGCCTCAAACATGCAAGAATGCTTAGAGATAGGGAGCGGCCTGCAGAGAGGAGCGAATCAGCACATGCAAAGGCTGCAAAGAGACCAGCAAAGAAACTTTAGTAATTTTCACTCAGAGAATCTCATGCTTATTTGATGAAAAGAAAATCACAGGAATATTTTAGAAGGCTGCTAGGAAAGCTTCTACTTTTAATTTTTTATTGAATTTTTGCAATCGACACACAACTTAATATGATGGTATTTAGATCCCCTCATCTACTGCACCTCCCCCTATTATCTCTGCCCAATTTAATGTACAGCTCTACAGGCTGTATTAATGTATTCCCACATGGCCTTCAGTGTGGATCCATCCACTGCAGTCTGGTAAGCCTACCAAGAGTCCCATCCCTGCATAAGACTCCCTCCCAGCAGCCATCAGTTACCCAAAGTTCCTTAGGTTGGATTGGGATTTCTTACCCACTTCCCTATGTCTATGCTGGGATTTTGTCTGGTTTCAGCTTGTATGCTGTCACTATTGCTGTTGGTGGGATCACAAACTTGTGCAATCACTATGGAAATCAGAATGGAGAACTCTTTAAAAAAACTAAAAATAGATCTACCATATGATTTGGTTATACCCCAATGACTTATTCTACTACAGAGATACTTAAACAGCTGTGTTTGCTGCTGCTCTTTTCACAATAGGTAAGAAATGCAAACAACCTAAATATCCCTCAGCTGATGAACAAATAATGAAAATGTGGCATATTTACACAATAGAGTTCTATTAAGAAGTAATGCAAAATGAAATCATGAAATTCACAGGTAAATGAATGGAACTAAAAACTGTTATACTAAGTGAAGTAACACAGACTCAGAAAAACTAGCAATATATGTTCTCTTTCGTTTGTGGATCTCAGTTCCAACTCCTTAGAAGTAATTACATATCCTTATGTAACCACAGGAGTCAAAAATGCAAAGGAACCATGGGGATGATTTAGAAGGAGTTCCACAGGGAGGATAGTAGGGGACTGGTGTTTTAAGGGGGGGATGGGGAAAAGGAGGGACTTTAACTGGGGAACGAACAGGGAGGGTTATACAGGGGGATTAAGAGGGGCGATAAATAATGCTTAGGTCATGTGAAAAACTAGAGGTAAATGTATTAGTCCAAGTCCTACTGAAAAATACACACACAATATACATATACAAGGACATATATGTAGCTGAAGGCTGTGTAACAAAAACAGTGACAGGCAGGAGAAACCTCCCTTTGAGTTGTTGGTCAGGGTAATCCAAGAGATTCCCAAAATACCACAGGCAATTGCACAGCCCTTGATTGTTTCCCAGAATTTGAAGGAAAGAACTTATTGCTGAAGACAGGACGTATTTTGTACACTGGATTTGGAGCAATCTAGCTGGTACTGACCTGGAAGCCTCCCTGGTGAAGACCAGCTCTCATCAGAGAGCTATTATGTAAGCTGCTAAGGGAGAAAACCAATCCATGGTCCTACCCAGGTGTCTATTAAAACAATGACTGGCCCAGTAAACTATCACTGTTGGTGGATACTAGTGGTACTTTTATCTTAAGGGTAATCAACAGCTGTCTAATTGGAATTAAAGCCCACTCAATGGGAGGGAATTTGTGTGGAGCTGAAAACACAGCCAAATACATGTGACTGGAGACGTCATACATTCTGGAGAAAAAAATCTTTGCCAGATCCCTAGATCAATGTAACTTCCTACTGCATTTTAAATATGCAGCCTCATATTTACAGACAAGTGTACCTCTTGCCACTTATCAGAGAAGCTTCCTTTTGCAACTGAAAGAATGCCTTTTTATGTTGTTGACCTTGCATTCCTCAGTCCTGCAAGTGAGGCAACGCTCCATTAGGAATTAACATCACAGGGTACTTATTAGCTCCTCTCTGGCAAATCTTGAATTGGGGGATTGCTAATATCTTTCCAGACTAATAAATTTAGTTTACTTCCATCTCCATTTCACAAGTAGTTATCTGTAAATGTAACCACTCACTGAATTAATACAATAATGAATAAGAATGCATCAAAACAGTAACTGGCAGACAGGAGGCCATGGATCACTGATACAGGATATTCACAGAGAGGCTAGGCAGCTTTTCTTTCAGATAGACTGGTGTAAATCCTAAAGACGTGTACACATACATGAGCCATGTTCTGAGACAAAATAAAATGTTGGTTTTTAACTTCGACTGAGTAAGTTAGGACCAATTTCTGATAATTATAAAGGGAACAACCTCAACTAATCTATCTATCATCATCTATCATCTATCATCTTTCTTTCTTCCTTTTGTTATCAATCTGTTGTTATTATTTTTGAGACGAGTTCTGACTTGTCTCAGGTTGCCCTTTAACTTATGATGCTGGGCCCTCAGCCTCCTTGGGTGTTAGGATAAAAATTAGTTTTAGTTAAGAAATCATACTGTCTGTAAAAGTAAAGTATGCATTCGTCTGTGTTAAAATGATCTCACAGTTGTACAATACATTCTATTAATCAGGAGAGTACTTTCTTCAGCCAAATAAACAATTTCTAATGCATCATAGAACAGTTGAAAGAGACTTAACTTAGCCAGGCACACATCTTTAATCCCAGCATTTGGGAGGCAGAGGCAGGAGAATCTCTGTGAGATAGAGGCCAGCCTGGTCTACATAGTAGGAGGGCTACAGGGAGACCCTGCTTCAAAAAACCACAAACAAACAGACAGAAACAACAAGAGGACCTAGCACAGTATACTCCCACATTTACTGTCCTATTTCTTAATTCTGTGTGCATTCAACGTGGCGAACAGACACTGAGGCAGCGCCTGTCACTGTGCAGACAACTACACACGAGGACCAGGACTGGAGGAGAAAAAACCTTCACAGCTGGCGGCTGAGGGCAACACTGGTACAGAGAAACACAAGGATTAGGATTTTATTTCATTTTCCCAGCTGACCCACTGACCCACCCGTGTTAAACGCCACGGGAATGAAATAAAACTCCATTCTGTCTTTAGAAACTCACATGCTCTTTGTGATATTAAAATGAATTATTGTCAAAAATATTTATAAAATAAGTGTTAATGTTACCTCCATTGTCTTTGAGGTGTAGTGCTATCTTGGTGTCATCTGGAAGAGAATTAGAAAGTTATAAGAGAACAGGTTTTAAAGGTGCATAAATCTCACATACACTAAGTTAATTTCCGCAATGCAAACACTAGATTTTTAAATTTTACTGAGGTAATTTCTATTTACTGAGAACAAGACCTAGCCTTATCTGACACAGCAGTAAAATTTCTTTCAGAGATTTTTCATTCCAGCACACTAGCAAGATACCTGACGACCCTTAATTCTGTGAGAAAGATAAATGAAATTATAACATAGACTGCACATAATTTTAACTTTCTAAAACAACTTTTAATAAGACTTTATTTACTTAAAATCAAGATTAAGAAAATGGAAAATTAGCCAGTACAGACATGATTTATCAACAATTGCAGATTTAACTTGAAAAGTTAAACATTTTTATGTTAGAAACACATATGACTGAAATCACAAGCTCTTGTCTTGCATGAACAGATGCTGGGCATAATTTTTCATTTCATTGGCTGTATTCTATTAAGAAAGACAGGATTTCAATTTTGGTACTATATTTACAGTCTTTAGTATGATATTCCAAAAAAAAAAGAAATAACAATACATTGTAGATATGAGTTTAAACATACATTGCTTTTAAAAGAAGCACAGTTCATTTGGATTTTCCCTCCACACCATTTCATTCCAGTTACCTATTAACTGGAATATGTGTCCAATTAAATTTCAATTAAAAGCTAAGGTTTCAAGTTCATTTTAATTTTCTATTCAAAAGAAATCAAGGTTTACAAGATGTGAAGCTATTCTCTCCTTTTAGCCTCCCTCCCTCCCAGTTATCTTCTCCTATTTCCTGCTACTTCCATTCAGAAAAACAATATCAAATATTGACTAACATATTTTCTTCCCCCATGAATTTTGTCATTCACTAACACTTCAGTTCTTCTGCCTTCTTCGTAAGAAGAAATTCCTTTCAAGAACAATTTTGTGATGTTCACACTGTTGCTGTAGAAATTATAGATAGCATTTGATTGACTGTATTCAGAAAATACTAGAATTGTATATGGGTAGAAATATCTATTGTTCAGGACTCCCAATCAATAGATACGTCATGAGCATTTTGATTTTCAGTTATGTATCAGGAATGTAGAGTTGGGTAACTACTAAGTTTTACCATATGAGAAATTTCTATTTCTTTTCTAGGGAGAGCCAGAAGCAAGAACACAGGACACCATTAGGCTTAATACAAAGAACAGGATGCTTGAAGAAGCCTGGCCTGAAGCCATAATTCTGAGTCTCAGACCATCTTTGGAAACTCAATTTGCCAAAGAATAACTTTCTCCCCAGAAAACAGGAAACACTCCAGTAATCTTTTCCTCTCCATTAAGAAATAAGTAAATGGGGGCTGGAGAGATGGCTCAGTGGTTAAGAACACTGACTGTTTTTGCAGAGGACCTGGGTTCAGCTCCCAGCACCCGCACAGTGGCTAACGACCATCTGTAACTGCAGTTCCAAGGGATCTGATACCATCTTCTGACCTCTGTGTGGATTGCACAACATGGGTGCAATTACATACATGCAGACAATACACTCACACATTAAATAAAATTTAGGATATTTAAACAAATAAAAACAAGAAATAAGTAAACACTCTTGGTGGGCACCTTCTGTGGGCAGGCTGGTGGGCGGCTGTGATGGTGAGGCTCTCCGGGTAGTCGTCAGGACCCTGAATTGCGTGGTAGTTGTGTATAAGGTCGTGGTGCTTTGAGAAGATGTGTCCACTGGCTCTGTGTTCTCACACATCTTCTCCTTTGACTAGTAAGAGACACAACAAGGAAAAAAAACTGAGTGGACACACTTGTATTTTTCAAAGTTTTATCCAAAAATCTGTGCTGCAAAGGCTCTCAAACTGACAGGAGAAATATTTTATTATTGTACTAGACTATTTATAGACTTTGTTAACTTACAAAGTTTATAAAATAGAAGAGAGAAGTGTATGTAACAAGTTACAATTCATCTTTAGATATTTGGATTAACCTTTTATATTACTGTTCATACTGCTGTCTTATATTATTTATAAAAGACCTGTTGACAAAATGAGAGTTAGAAGAAAAGCATGCACCCATTCACCAGGTTTCACATATAATTACATACATGAAGATAGACGGCATTCTCTTCACTAAAACCACAGAGCTACATCTTAAACATTTTCTAGTTGCTCCAGGCTCTTAAGTCTCAAAACTAATCTGTCCTGGATTGAACAAACATTTAAAAATTTTTTTCTCTTATGAAATATTCAGAAGCAAAGAGCAAAGCCTTCATTCAAACAGGTTCTAGCTCTCCCTAGCGGGCTATTCCCAAGACATCAGGAAGAAGCACATTTCCAGGTTTTTATTTAGAACCTACAAAATAAATCCCATAATCTTCACTAGAAAGGTGCCCAGCATGTTTACCTTCTATTGTTCTATCGCCAACATAAAAACTCTGTAGTTTAGAAGTTGATATTACAAGCCCCCTCTTTAAAAAAATTATTTATTTTCTTTTTCTTTGAGATAGGGTCTCCCTGTAGCCCCAGTGGCCTGGAACTTGCTATTTAGATCAGGCTGACCTGTGTGTCAGAGATACCAATCCTGACTCTGACTCCCAAGAAATGGGATTAAAAGTTTGTGACATCATGATGCAAAAATCAACTCTCTGTGTGACACAGGACTCCATCATTCTGAAAGCAAGATCTATATATGGCTAGTAGTTATCTCATATTTGAAAATGATTGATAAGTAACTTTCTTAAACTATCTTGTCATTAGTGAAATGCTATGAACCTTTCCCCCAGGGAATGAAGAGGCCCTAGGACATCTTTTTCATTAATCAGATACAGTGAAAGTTTATTCTCCACTGAAGACTCACTAGGATAGTGATAATCACCCACTGAACAGTCAAATATAGTTCCTGCATCCTCTCAGCTCCAAAGACCTAATGATCATTTTAGCTCTGACTGATCCTTAAATTTCATCCCCATATTCTGCATGTGATCTCATGAAAATGCTCCAGGATTGTAGTCATAAGCTCATTCTCCTATTTCAGCCCACGTGTGCGTCTTTTCACTGAAATTCTTACTCCTTGATTGCACCCAAGGACGATTGCATTGCTTTAATCTCCTGTCTCCCCATCACTCCATCTTGCTTCAATATCTGCAATTATCTTCTTCTTCTTTTTCAAACCATTTTGGTAAAATCCCAATTCTGTATTTAGTAAAAGATCTTCCTTATCCAGGCCCACTCCAAAGGCTGCAGAACAGAACAGCCACTCAATACCACTGGAATATCCACAAACTAACCTGCATCCTCTTTCAGACCACTAATGATACTCGCCAATAATGCTGTATCAGAATAATCATTTTTCCTAAGGCCACAGTACCAAGTTCTCCACTCTACTTAAAAGCCACAATCCTACCGTGATTCTCTCCGGTCTGCCCTAGGCTCACATTCCACTTCTTGGATGAAACAAACCACGAGTAGGAATTCTTTACAAACCAACAGAGTTGTTCCAATCTGAATTTACCATTTCTTTCCTTCTGTAACAGAGGATGACAACCATTCCTTATCGATATTCTTTCCAGCTGTGCCCAACTCAACCCACTCCCCCTCAGGGTTTTTGAGCGTGTTCTTTGAATGAAATCCAACATCAGTCATCTGCAATTCTCTGTTGATTTGTTACTGCTAACATTTGAACATATTAAGCTTTGTGATCTACATACTCGGTCCTCTCCTGGATCCACAGTGCATCCCGACATTACATTGTTCCATTTTTTCCTTCCAGTTGAACTCAGATTTCCAGAGCAGTTTTCTGTCCCAGTCTTCTCAGACCGTCAGCTTCCCCATTTAATTACAATCTTGCTGTTACCAAGTCCATTCTAAATGGAATTCCTAAGACCAATGTTTACACATATCTCCTTAGATACTAAACCTTCTGTGGAGTAGCAGGGGTAACTCATTGGCATTTGGCACAGATGCCCAGTCTTATTTTGGTTTCTGTGACACACGCTCATCCATCTTGATTCCTCTCTTAACAGCTCCCCTACTTCCTTCCATTTCTACCCCACTTTGTTGATCTTGCCTTGACACTCACTCACTCTATGCTTTCTTCCTAGCTATCATGTCTACACCCATGATTTCAAGTAACATCTTCATGCTGAATATTTGAAGATCTGTATCTCCAGTTGCCACTTCTCTTGAATCTCAGGCCCAAACATTCATCAATCACCTGGAAACATGTGCATGAGAATGTCACAGTCATCATGAACTCAACAAGTCCAGGATGGAACTTGCCATCTATCAATCATATATATATGAAAAGTCTAAGTTAGAAAATGAGAAACAGAACATTTAATATTCACTGATGTGATTTTTCTGAATAGAGAATTACTAAGTATCTTCAGATACAGCTTCTAAACTAGCAAGAGCTTCATAAGGTGGTTATATATAAGCTCTTTTAGATCTGACACATATAATTAACAAAATATCCAGAATAAAAGGAAAAGGCAATTACCCAACAGAAACATGAGAATTGACACAAACAGGCCTCTCACAGGAGTAGAAAGAGAGAAGCCAAAGAAAGCACGGAACCCAAAAAAGCATTTGAAAATACATGATTTCCTTAGTGAGTGGAGAAATGAAAATTACATATACAAGAAAAATTTGTACCTGTTAGATTCCTGGGAATGAAGGAATCTAACAATACTGTGTTATCAGGAATATAATGTGACCGAACTCATAGGTGTTCAGGAACTGCATGTAAACTGGTTTATTAAAAGTTATTTAGCAAACAACTAGTAATATTACAAAAATGTCTGTATATATGGTTTAAGAGACATGTATACAGTGTTTTTAGCAGCAAATCCTAGAAACGTTGTCCATCAATTAGGGCTTGAGTGGGAAAACAGGACTGTAAGAAGGCAAATTCTAAGTAGGCAGAATTTAGTGGATTTTTGTTTGCAGTTTTCCTAAACTGCATCTAAGATGTATCTGGAGTAACATGAACACACAGCATTTTTTTTTGAGTAAAGGAACAGAGTAGCCATAGTGTAGAAAATCAGCCTTCAAAAATGAAGAAATCAAAATCACAGCAGCCATCATGGATGAGAGTAAAATAATTTTTTTTCAACAATGAAACAAATATTCCAAATAGTTTTCTCCTTCATATTGAAAAGTAAGGACACAATAGAATGGGAACAAACAACTTCTTAGTCATTAGTAAAGTCCGGCACTTCAATCACAGCATTCATTTTCTGTGTTTAATAATTAGTATTATTAAAATGGGAAAGATTCTTTCGAACAAAATATCAAAGAGAAAAAGTCTAAAATTCTTCCAGAGTCCTCATGTACATTCAATTCACTAGGCATGGATTTAGTTCTTCTCCCGCCCCCATTACATGGTGGTCTCCATAATGCCAGTTACTGATTTAGTCCTGATGATCAACAGCTCTGGCCTGCCTTATAGTAACAGCTGACATATGCGTCTCCTTGCTTACAGCTCACAGCCAGGATGATTCTTCCAACAAGTACTTAGATATCATATCCTGCCCAGCTCTGAGCAATAGTTCCATTTCATCAGCCATGCTGTGTGTGATGTGTCACTTCCCTGACTGAACCAAGCAAGCTGGTAACTCGTGTGTACGGAGTGCCTTCATAATTTACATAGCAAGTGTTCCTTATTTAGAGAATAAATCATATCCCAGCTCTCGAAAGAATATTGAATCCCAGTCATAGGCAAGGAAAATGGATTGAAGTTGGTGGACTTGATTACTTACCTCTGAGGAAAAGATGGCTTACCACAAAGCTAGTGATGTGGACAATTTAATTACAGAACACAGAAAGCATGGATTATTACAGAATACATTAGATTCTGGCCTTCTTTAATGGATATCACAGTCCACGGATCATGGTTAATTCTCTACTAACATTCTCAGGAGAATTTTCTCTACTGTGTATGGTTTGTATTGGAAGCATTCTAAACAAGAGAACTAAACGTCTGAATTCTACTAGGAAGTTTTGCATAGTTATAGCTATTGATTATGCGTATCCTTTAAGAAAACTTATTATTTGAAAGACATGAGGATCAGAAAAATGGGTTCACAGATTTATCAATGTGTTCTGTTTGGCACTATGTTATATAAATGAGATAGACGGATTCTGGATTTGTAATAAAGCACTGTAATTCCCTGAGTGTCAAAAAGTAGGTTAAAGTTGCCATGGTAACTCTGCACTTCAAAGTTCAAGGATGTCAGTTGTTTGATTGGTTCTATTTTTGAGGTAGAGTGTCAGTATGTAGTTCAGGCTAGCCTCAAATTCACAGTCCTCCTGCATGTTGGGGTTACAGTATGCATCCTCATGCTGACTCTTAAGACTGTTCATTTTTATTCATTGATCTTTAATTTTTTTATGATACTTGGAGTTGAATTCAGTGTCTCACACATGCAAGGCAAATGCTGCACCACCAGCCCAAGACTATTCTCAGTGATGCCTTTCCCAAGGTCTTCATGAGCTATCGGACCACAAGCAAAACTTGAAAAAGCTTCTTGTAACTGCTCTTCTTCTGAACAGTCCTTAAAGTAGTGATGTGGCATGATTTACTTTACTGAATGAGAAAATTAATGCCATCAACAATTTTTTTTACAACTTTAAAAAGAGATTTATTTTAGTTTTATGTATATTTGTGTTTTGCCTGAATGTATGCAAGTGCACCATGCTATGCCTGTGGAGGCTAGAAGAGGGTATTGCATTCTCTGGAACTGGAGTTACAGCTGTTAACTGCCAT